GATTAATAAGTGCATAAAAGAATGGATGTCTGATAGGATGGATAAAAAATGGAAATGATACACAGATTGATGAAAAAAAGGAAAAAAATATAAGGAAGAAATAAAAGGAATAAAATGGATGGATACATGTTTGTAAATTGATAAATGGATGATTAATTTAAAAATCATTATTAATAATTAATTATTATTAATAACATCATTGATACCTGCTTGTGTTTCTAGAAGGAACTCTGATTCTCTGAAAGAATTAAATATTCAAGTATAAAATACTGTATATTGATGAAGTAAAAAAATACTTCTCATATATTAATTAGTAGTAATTTTAGATGGAACAAAAAACAGATGTTTTATAGTGGTTAATGTGTTTGACCCTATATCTGTGGGAGATGTTCTGTGTAAGCCCCTCAGGTAAAGAACATTATATAATAGTTCATTTTAAACTTTAATTAATTATCTCTCTCCATCAATCTCTCAAAATTCTTTTAGTTATATATTCTTTATTCTTCCTTTCACTCATTTTTTCATTTGTTTCATAACTTTCTCATTCATTTTTCCTTTCTCTCATTTATTTTTAGTTTTTTTTAATCATTTTATATTATCATTTTATCATTTTATTTTTCTTTTTTTCATTCATTCTTTCATCAATTTTCCCATTTTTCACTTGAGATATCATTTCATTTTTTTTTTATTTCTTCATTTCATTAGCACTTCATCCATACCTTGTAAAAGCTGGACTTGTCTCTAGCTCAGCATCATCCCAAACCATGTAAGTACCATGATCTTTCCTGAATGAATATAAAGTTAATTATAACCATATTATATATATTTTCATATACAACATTGTATAATTAAGTTTTCTTGTACGATATATCTTACCACTTAACAAACTTTGCATATGCAATGATAGCAATGATTACAAGTACTAWGACTGCACCAAAGGCAATAAGTATGTATCCCCATAATGGAAGCACATCTGAAAGTYGAACAATCATGTTTAAGAGATGTGTTGTGTAAGTGATGMATCAGTCATTGAATCYACAGTCYCCCAASCACAAAWACAGGGGAAATTAAAACTTAGAGGCAAAAAAAGGTGGCTAAACAGATTATTTCCTTTGGTTATGAGATTAATTYCYCCGCCTCTGCAWYRCTGATGAAACAGTGTTAAATCCCCAGCTAAAATGTATCAATTTCCAGCCATGTCTGAGGATTGGCAGCTGGAGGCTCAAATGGGAGGTGGGGGTTCAATTGAGTAATGCAATATCAAATTCATTACTGATTTACCTGAGCAAACAAAAAAATATAAACCACAAAAAACTAGAAATAGTGACCATGAAGTAAGCTTTAAAATCACATGGTTATTATTAAAATTTACTCAATTAAGTTGTTGATTTATTCTGAAAAGCTCTACAGTCAACTCTCGCTATTACGAACACCCTTGAGACCGTAGTTTAGCCATCCCAAGTACAAGAGTCCTTATATAACGGGAGTTACTTTCAGTCATTTCTTTGTATTTTTCACCAGGGATTCAGTATTTTACTGTCTGCAATATCGAGGTGTCCGTTAAAGCGGGGTGTCCATAAGGCGAGAGTTGACTATAATTTGAATTGCATTTTAACTTGATTTTCAATGACAGGTTTCATGAGGTTATAATACATCAAATATAGATAAAAAAAGCTCAATTCTTATTACCTTTCTTAGGATCATCTCGACCCTTAACAGCAGGAATAGTAGTACCATTCTTAGGTGCATTAGTGTCTTTCTTATTCTGTGCTAAGATGGCTGGTCGACTGTTTGTTTGAAAGTTTGATGTTGTTACTACTGGTGGTGAAGGAGAAGTAAGTAATATTGTTGTTGTTGCTGTTGTTGTTGCTGCTGCTGCTGTTGTTGTTGCTGTTAATGATATGCCATTGTTATTCTCCCTTGCAGTAGGATTGGGTTTCAATGTTCTGCCTGGAAGAAAAAAAACCCAATAGATTATTATTTGCATGACTGACTTGATGACTGACAGAGGCTTACATACAATATGTGATTGACAACACATGGGTGCATCAAGGGGGAGGGTTGGGGGTCAGGACCCCATGTTATTTTTATAAATGATTATATCCTGAGTTTAAGATAAAAATAATACTTTTTACTAGAATATATGACAAATTGCTCTGATAGATTTGGGTTTCCTGTTGTAAAAGAAATTGCTTTACAGGCAAATATTTTTTTCAATTACATGTAAAACTCTTGCAGACTTTGCTGAAATCATATTGTATAATTTCCTTTATATAAATACCTTGGTTCCAAGGTCATTAAATTTAAAAAGCAAAGGCAACAATATGATAAATACAAATACTAAAATGAATTCATCTATAAAAAAGAGAAAACCTATGGAACCAGGGTATTATATAAATAATTTCAACAGAATGTTACCTGTTTCAATTCTTAAAATTCAATTTTAGTTTGTATAGGCCTAGTTTAACTAAAACACTCAGTGAATCATGTAAAAAAACGGTAATACTCTACCTAGGGGTCTGGTCTGCAATGTTTCTAGACTCAAAATCTACATCAATCACAGCATGAAGTATTTTATTGGTGCATTTAGTCAGTCATTGGTTTTGGTGGGAGAAAAACAGTGTTCTATTTATAATCTATACCCAATCAAATAATTTATTTTCATATCATTATGGTTATGAATTTTATTAAAATATTAATAAAAAAAATCTCGAATTTTATTTTGCTTAAAACATTAAAGTGGTGCTAGTGTAGTATTGCAACATTTTTTCAAAATGTCAATTATAACATAAGTACTTCGGTGATGTGAATTTGCATAGTTATTTGAAAAGTTTCCTTGATAAAAAATACGTCAAGGCCTGCACCTGAGAATTATGCTAATTTTTCAATCTTTCTAATTTAAAGTGTCTGAAGCAAGGTTCTAACTTATTTTTAGACATTTTTTGATCATATTACGATAACGTTTCAATTTCTTCTTTGTATTTGGTAACATGATTTTAGAATATCAAAAATATTGCTATTTTCGAAACAATAACTAGGTTTTGCTTGAGTGGTCCAGCTGTCAAAATCTTTGCTGATCTAACAAAATGCTAATTGCTGGCAAAGTATTTTAATTTTATAGTATATAAAAAAATTTTCCTGTTTTGGGCAAGAGAAATTCCATATCGTTCTTTGTAAACTCTGTCATCGTATTAAAGATCGTGTGAAAATGCTAATTAATGATCGTTTAGCTCGCTTATTGCTTTATAAACAATTTTCTGTATGGACTATTAGACGAAATATTAGCAAGACGCAAAAAATAAACACGGGTAATGCGAAAGAAGAAAGATAACATCGACGTCAATGTACAGGACTTAACATATAAAAAAATTTGAATGGTATTAAATTATTATTGTGTAATGACAAAAGAATTTTTCATCATGTAACAACAGAATCGATGTGTTATTTCATTGTTCTCGAAATCCACTGGCTGCATAACATTTAAAATCGTGTTTCGATATTTCCTATAAATTCTATCGACTGTTCCTCGATGTTTTGGCTTTAGATACTGCCTTTAATAATACAATAATTTATGAACGATCAATCATATCAGTATTTAAAACAAACACAATCTCATTTATGAATAAAAATGTTATTTCARAATCGAGAAAAACYATCGCGGTTTTCTAGTGCTTCACGCATTTGCAATAAGAACTTGTTGCCCTGTCCCCTTCAAGGCTATGAATATAAACAGCAATCTGATTTTTAAATCAGATTYGGATATTTTAAAACACTGCCATTGCCACAAACTTGGAACGGTCTTGATTTTAAGAACCGCAATTCAACCAACGACCGCTCCAACTTGAAGATTTCTAATCCAAGAACATTATTTTCCAATTGGACAGTAAGGTGATATCAATTGTGCCTAAGGACACTGTGAGTTCGTGAACAAAGTTTCCGTTCGAAATTTAACCACAAGTTCAAATGATATAAAGAGATTGAAGAAACAACACTACTACTACAATATAAATTGATGGTCTATCGGACAAACACCGTGAACGCATCGTTAAATGTTACTTAAAGATTTGAATCTTCAATATATCGTGCGATGAAAGCTTCCATTTGACAATATGTATTCTAGTGAGAACAGAGAACAGCCAGGAACACATTTTTCGAACGATCAATCATTATTTGTGTATGATTTGTACATTTCATGTGAGCGAAACAAAAGACATACCTTTTGATAAAGTGATAAGTCCAACCAAAAAGAATATGTTACCAATAAAAGAACTGCTTATCCCCATGTCGATTCTCTAAGCGAAAATCAGTTAGACATTAGACTCCAAACCAAACGTCTTACATCACATCACTTCTYCTTTGTTTTAAACACAGTCGATAAACAAATGTGGTTCGTTCGGCACATTGCTGGCAGCTATCTTTGTTGACAACTTCAACCGCCCGTTACCAGCCGACTAGAACGTGAGCATCAGGCTGCTGTTGAACTCTGTTGTGTCTTTTTTCGACAGTTTTTCCGATGGCCCACAAACCGGACGAGTTCGATACTCTCCGAACAGTGACGTCTGATTGTTGTAGTGATGGCTACTAGGACAATCGGATTACCTAGTAGGGGAGAGCAAGGGGGGTTGTCAATATCAGATCAACATAGAAAATTCWATCTAAACCCCAACCTTTGTGAGAGAAGATGTTCTGCTTTAGCTCCAGGGTATAAACACATAGATTAAGACAAAAATAACACTGCTTTATTTGAATTTTGCATGTAAACAACTTTTTCTATAACCGGAAGTGCGTCTGCCATACCTAAGATAAACATCTAACGCATTTCCGTTTCGTGAGTCTGCGGGCTCATATATAAAACATGCGCAGTTGTCAGCTGCGCAGATCTGAATAATATCGAAGGTGAAGTCAAAATGGCGGAAATGGAGTTTTGATGAAAGTCTTGTAGCTTATGTAGTTGATTCGTTGGCCTCTGGTCGGTCACCTGGCCTCAGGATGAAAAAGCAGTTTTATCGCGTCAAACAGCTTGCTGATCAGCGCGTTGGCAGGTATGCAGCTTTGACTTCACGAAGATCAATGGAGCGGAAGCCAATCAGTCTTGACTTCAATGAACACAAATTATAATGTCACGGGCTTCTATTTAAAACAGCATTTATCCAATTAAGAGGCTAATTATAAACATCTACGTTCAATTAATTTATCTGACTTTACAGAGCTGAGAAGACTGAGATTTTGACAGAGGAATTACAGAATGTAAGTACGAATTGCTCATTTTGTGGTTTTTGTGTGTGTGCAGTGATGTTTATCTCGTGTCTGTACCACGAGCAAAGGAAGTCACCCCCCGCAAGCGCTCAAATTCTTCATTTGATCAAATGTTCGAATTTCAGAAGTTGATCAAGTGTTCTTTGTTCAAACTAACCCAGATGTGTTGGTTTCAATGCATGGGAATCGATTTCAGACTAGCCACTTCAACAGTTTGTGATTGTTTTTGATAAGATTTGGGCAAGGCTGGAGGTGTTTCCTTCGCACACAATTAAAAAACAAGGAAATTCTTAAACACCTTTTACATGCTAATTTTTCATTCCAAAACAAAATATTGATATTTAAAACTCAAAAGATTATACTTAGCTCTTGCATCCAGTCTACAAGAAAATGAAAAAAATAAACAGTATTGCATGTATCTTATTTATTTGTTTGTTTCAAGGTATTTGGAAGTGGTTTTGAAATTGAAAAGAGATATTTCTGATTATGTAAATGCAGCTGATGTGTTTTAGTTTAAACCAGTGTTATGCCTGTTGTTGCATGCAATCTTTCTACAATATTTGTGACATTTAAAACCAGCATGAAAAATGAATTATTCTGCAGCCATTTATGGAAAATTATTAACAAAACACTGCCATTAATCTGCAAAATTGCAGGCTCTCAAATGAAAGCWRAATATCCATTATTTCATTTTCATTTGTTTTGTTCAACAACTAGCCATGCTTTGCAGTACGGATTACCACTTGCTATGACAAAACTGAAATACCTTAATTTTTTTTTTTTCAGTTTTACATTTTGTGTAATATTTTGCACTTTCTTTGAGGTTTTTTCAGAATTATTTCTTACTCCTTAACATTAGAAAAGAGACAAAAGGAAACCTATTAACACCAATCCTTTCTTCCTGCAGCATTTTCTCAATTATCTGCATGACAGATAGAAATAGTATTAGTTAATGGTTTCATTGTTTTGTGACTTTTTAAGCGAAAGCTGATGCATGCATATCATGATATTAAAGTGGTAATTTTCCCTAGTGAATATAAAACATTTGAGGTTTCTCTATATATGGGACGTAAAAAAAGGTATTGCTTTCACATATAATTATATGATAAACAGAATATTACATGGTTGCTTGGAGACATAAATTTTATCTTTCGAACATTCAGAGATACAATGTAAAATCTGTATCTGATATCCTCAATATCTTTGATAATTCAAAAAATACTAAATCCTTCTCACTACTTTGTGGCCTATTTGCGATATTCTCTGCTTGAAATCTTAGGAAATGTTAACTAGCTTTGTATGACTTGGCGCGTTAAATTTGAGTGTGAAGTTATGTAAGTTTGACGCCTTTCCAGATAACCCTCCCCCTGGGTCACCACACTCTAGCGTTTACATGGCAAAAAAGTTGGCCCTCCATGGATGGTTATCCTACCTATTAAATAGGGTGACCCTACCATTAATGATAGTCCTAATGCATGTATGGTAGATGTATTTGTGTCTATGTATATCTTATGAATAAAACTTCATGTAGGTTGAGAAAACAGTTGAAAAAATCAAGCATGCTTGTCATGCAGCAAGCAAAAGGATTACTGCCTCAATGCAAGGCCAAGGAAGTGATTTTGAAAAACGAATGGTAAGAAACAGTAGAATTACACAATTCATGTTACCTTATCGACAAGAGTGGACTCTTGTTAAAGAAAAATGTAATTAATATTGTTAGCAAAATCACTAAAATGTACACTTCCCACAACAAGAACATGTCTAAAATGTGTACATATGGGTAGCTTTCATTCTCGTACACTTAGCTTCTCATTTTCCCAATAGAAAATCAAAGGCTCTGGTTTTAGATGAATAAGGCTTTGATTTGGTTGGTTCAAAAATTCCCATACCATCAGTATACACATATTGTATGACCCAGATTCTTGATCTTCTGGAATCGTTTCCAGCCAGAGCCTTTGATTTTCCATTGCGAAACTGAGGAGTATCTGAGTACGAGAATGGGTAGCCTAATATTTCAGGTAATAAGATGTTTATTTATGTGTCTATCATATGTGCTGTTTATCATATATTAAAATCAACAAGTTTGCCTCACTCACTCGTTCACTCGCTAAACCACTCACCCACTGGATCACGCACTGACTCAATTCTATTCTCAGTATTCGTCAGCCCTTTTTGAAATAGGTTTATATTCATTATTTCATTCATTACTTGTTTGATCAKCCTTCATGGTGAGGTTAAGGTGAGATCCATGAWAATTTGTTGTTTTTAGGCTATGTTATTTCAAAAATCCAAAGGTAGTCTTGATGATATARCAATATTATCATGGAACAAACAGATGCAMTATGATGCCATGGTAAAAATCACATCCTTTTTCTAACCACCACTCATAACCTAATAAATAGTGCTAATGCTGAACCAGTRTGCAAYATTAAACCCCTGTGGGGGTGGTGTGGGGTGGGAGGTGAGGCCAGTTTTTTATGTCCCTTTGRTGRCCAGATTAATKCAATTTCAATGCAGTTTGCTAATTGCTAATTAAGCCAATAAAATTCGAGAATTGTGGRAAAATATGATAGATTTTAAGTTTGTTCATTAWTTTCAGAAAAAGCTAAACCAGGCTGGAMTTGCACAAAGCATGTTAGAATCTAGCAATCAGCTAGGTGATACATCACTTCTTGGGTAAGATATTATTTACTATTTGGATGTATTTGGCTCAAGCTGTATGAAATGAGAAGAGTGAGGACCACAGACATTTTTGACATCCAAAATCATGGTGCATTGTGGTCTAGCTTCAATACAAACAACACCATATTTGGCAGCATGTACAAAAGATGTTTGTACTGGGTCTAGACCACAATGCAATGCAAGCTATTATCTCAGAAAAGGCGCTGGCCAAACTCGGTCAATAAGTATTTCAAAGGTTTTCTTGGTAGGATGCATTAGCCATTGTCTACCATTATTGTTTCTGTTATATTGTGCAGGGCTCGAAATAATGGCTGGTCAAAGGACAATGTCCTTCCAAATTCACTAGATGACTGGCCAAATCGGGTTTTGAAAGGACAAATTGACATTTTTTGACAAAAAAAAATCAATGCCCAATTCTTTAATATCTTTTGTTTTAAAATGCTTGCCGATCATTCTGAATCCAAAAAGCAATAAATTAAAGGAAAATAATAGTATAATAAAGTTTTTGTCCTTTCAAAATTCAACATGACCCTTCAAAAATGAATTTGGAAGGACATTTTGTCCTGCATTTGTCTAGCCGTTATTTCAAGCCCTGTTGTGTGTGTTACTTAATGGGTTACCTGTGGCACAAGGAAGTCCCAACTCAGCAGCTATAGACCCCTTGGATATGATGTCGTAGAAGCTTCATCTGGAGGACAAAACAAACAAATTTTAGATTTTGTTTGTACATACATGTATCCCTTGAATGATGATTTATTATGTTGCATGTTAGTTGGTAATGATATTTTGTAACTGTATTGGATAGGTCAGTGCTGCTTGGCGCAGGAGAAGCTGAGCGTTCTATAGCAAAACAATTATGTGATTATGAAATGGCAGTTGAAAAGAATGTCCTGGCACCAATGACATTATTATTAGAGGTACTTAGATTTAATGAAATGATAAAAAAATCACTGATTTGAAATAATCATTACGATGGTGATTAGATCTAGTGATCGTATGATAGTATGTAACAGTATGTAAATCAGTTTATGATATATTATATTTAAATGTCACTGAAGTTGCTCTAACTGTCTGAGTGAAATATTTTAAACTAACTTACTACTACTTAAAAGAGTGTCGAAGATCACAACGATCACTATATCTGATCACCATGGTAATCATTTCTAAGACCTTCCTGGCGTCAAGCTATGAAATAAGTACCGGTAAATCAAAAATATCTTTACAAATGTAGATGTGTGATATTTATTGAGGTTAATAATTCTACTATCAGTTAACATGTACATGTACATACACCACTTTTCAATTTATCATAATTTCTCTTGTTTCTTGATACAAGTGCTACATTAAAAATTTGTCTATAGTGGTTTGGTAAATTGTTATTTTGTATTTGTTGCTAGAATGATATACCTAATCTTGCTCAATCAAAGAAGAAGCTTTCCAAAGCTGCCTTAGACATGGACACTTGTAGGTCAAGGTGGATGGCAGCGGTTAAGGCTGCTCATGGCTCCAGTAAAGACATGCAAACTGCAGCAAGCAAAGCAGACTCTTTGAAGGATGAACTTGATGAAGGGACTAT